AGTCTTCCGTTGTCGACCTTCAGGATACAGTAGCGGCGCTTAGAGGAGATTTAGCTGGCAGACGATGGGGGGACAGAGGGGATGGCGGAGATCATGATCGAGAGGGTGGCAGAGATGGTAATGGAGAGGGGGATCACCCACATTTTTGGCTTGATGAGACATTGGAGTCATGGTGGTTGTCTATGGAGGGGGTGGCCCCGATGGGGATGGGAGAGGAGACTACGGAGGGGGTGGCCTCGACGGGAGGGACGGAGGTGGTGGCGACGGAGGGGGAGGCCCCGATGGAGGGGGCGGAGGAGGTGGCCCCGGAGGTCGAGAAGACGCCCGGTGTGATTAAGGGTAAGAGACATGCTGTTGACGAGACGGAGCAGATGGTCGGCAAGAGGTTGAGAGTGCTGTCACAGTATGTTGTTTCCCTCTTCATGGCTGAGGCCAAGAGAAGGACGTTCATCGATGGAACGTACCCGAACTTATTCAGAAAGGTGGACAATGTCAAGTGGAAAGCGTTCGAGACAGAGTAGAGGAGAATTATCCCCGGGTAAGTATTGTATGATTTTAATAAAGCACTGTACGCTAACTCGTCTACGCTTATTTTAACATTTCCCTCTTTTTTACAGAGTTAGCCACACGATAGGATAAAGGACGGTCTCGGACCCTTACAAGTGGTTCCACGATATCACCACTGCGGGAGCTTGGCTTGCTGACGATGTAAGTGAACTATTCATTTCGTGTTTTTTATGTATATGTGACCTTGTGTTTATTAAATGAATAACTCATACTTTTTTTGTGTTTCCTAATGCAGCACATCGACCTGGCCATGGACTTGCTGCGAGATCGAGCTCAAAGACATCCAAAATCATTTGATGTCCATGGTCGAGTCATATTAAACACAGAGTTCCCGGGTGCCGTTACCATAGAGTATCAGTTGCATTCACTTATGGGTAACGAGTACACGGTGCCAGAATATATGCTCGAGTGGGTGATAGGACTGTCACCGAGTGTCGGGGGGAAATCACAGGAGGGTTGTACACATATGTACATTCCAGCATGTATCAATAAACACTATGTTACGCTGGAGATCGTTTTTACTGACTCGACTATATATGTGTACGACTCAAATCATTCATGTTTGACACAAGGCCAGTTGGAGCAAAACCTGGAGTCCGTGGCTGTAATTGTTCCTATGATGGCCAGACGAGTGGGAATAAATGTACAGGACAGATTGCGGATCGTTCGGAACACGACGACAGCGCGACAGTCCGTAAGGTAAGTGTTTGAACGTTGTTGTTTTCATCTTTTAGATTTATTTTTTATTTACACAGTACTAAACTGATTCATTCTTGTTCAATTGCAGCAGCGACTGCGGCATATTTGTCATTAAGTACGTTGAATTTTTAAGTATAGGACATAAGGTTGATGAAATCAACCAGTCGTGGATACAGAACTGGAGAAAGAAGTTAGTATGTGATTTGTTCGAATTTAATGCTGACCCATAAATTTCATTTATATATATGTAACATTTCAATTGTAAATTTAATTATTTTTGTAATTATGAAATAATTGTAAATTTGTGTTCAATGTATATAACATTCAAATTGAAAATTTAATTATTTTGGTAATTATGAAATAATTGTAAATTTGTGTTCAATGTATATAACATTCAAATTGAAAATTTAATTATTTTTTGTTATTTTACCCGTATGCCGAGTGTGGAACTATTTTTTTCATATGAATTATTATAAATACCATTTATAGAGAATAAATATTGAATATGGAAGATTTATAAATAACAAATATTGAACAGTGTAAAGTAAAAGGAAATATTATTTATTTCACGTACCTGTCTAGTCGTCATTTAGGGAAATTTGACTGGTACAAAATTGCCAAGTCTGTCCTACGGCTCTGTACCGGCCACACCTACGCGGTCGAGGAAACTCTCCGGTAGATGGTATTCTAAATGTACTTGGACGTCCAGGACCACGCGATTCAACTGCTGGTGGTAACAAATTATGAAATGGGAGAATGTGCTCGGGTACTTCCCACTCGGCTTCATTCGGCAGAGGAAATATAGTCTCGACGTATGCTGTTCTCCAAGACTCAGTCGTATAATACAAAGAGCATAACGTTCTCGCAGCAAAGCCTCGATACATGGCCACCGCAACTGCATGCTCACATGGAAAACTCCCCAACTGAAATCTCGTACAAGTACATGTGTTATCAGTCAAGTCCATCATATATGCCGTATTACGTGCACATTGCACGGAGAAGCGAAACTCATCTAGTGCTTCCACATTCAACTTCCTCGCAACCTCTGCCGCCTTAAACAGTTTCTCCTCTTGAGCTGGGGCCAACACGCTAGTGCAACTCTGTAATGCCGCACGTCGGTCATGAAACTACTATTGTAGCTTGTTACGAATGTTCTCAATCATTACGAGAATTGGTAACTCTCGATCCTTCTTAAACAATGCATTGAGAGACTCCGCGTTATTCGACGTCATCATGTTGTATCGACGTCCTGGAAAGTATGACCGTGCCCAATGTTCAATCCCCATCTTCGTCAGATACTCCAATGCCGGTAATGATTTACTTCCTATCTCGAGCATGAACTTATTACACTTTTCAGCACTATAAGTTTCGGCTGCTCTCCTGAACAATGAAACGATGCCTGTGTCCCGATACCTAGTCTTCAAATTACCTTATATATGGTACATGCAATACCCATGATGTGCCTCGGGAAAAACTTCAGCGATACCGTTTATTATAGACTGTCCTCGATCGGTTACAAAGGCAAGGTCTTCGACTTCCCCGATCACTTCCCTCAGTTCAGAAAAGAGCCAACGCATGGAGAGATCATTCTCGCTGTCGACTATGCCGAATGCAATAGGGTAAATTTGGATGTTGGCATCTTGATATGTAGCAATAATTAATTTGCCTTGATATTTAGCTTTCAGAGTCGTACCATCAACTAGAATTACGGGTCGCATTGCATTTCGAAAACCCCGAATACATTGTCTGAGAGCCATGAAGAAATACTTAAAACAATTATCGCCCCCCGTCTCAATAAAAAATGCCGTGCCAGGATTAGTTATCCCCATGTTATGACAATACCTAGCCAATTTAGCATAGCTCTCTTCAGCCAATCCCATTAAATCCTCCAACGCACATTCTTTGGCCTTCCACGCTTTTTGATAGCTCATGACCACTCCGTACTCTCGACGGACGTCGTTAATGATGTCCGAAGGTCTGTAGATCGTCCGTGGATCCTGATACTTGTGCATTATCTGTCGACCAATAAACCATGCTCGAGCTTGCCTGTGATCGTTTCAAAGAATTTCCACTTCACAAGTATATTCCCGTAAATACTTGCGAATTACGAAGCATTCATTCGTGTCCATCTTAGTTGCTCTCAAGCGCTAATTGCAACTGTCTTCGACGCAAGCAACTGTCAACAATGACTTGTTTGATTTCTTTACCTTGAACTCAAAGTTATATTTTAATGCCAGCCGGTGCACAGCTTCCTGCAAATTTTTCTTGGTTTCAAACAGTTGCTCGACCTGCAAGTCCTCATCATCGGGAGCCACACGGGAAGAATTGGAGGACGGTCCACTTGTTTCAACCTGTGAGCTCCCACCAGGCTCATGCCTCTGTCGGGATAAAGCAATCAAATTCTCATTTGTAAACTCGTTTATGTTCTCACTGTCTTCAATTGTCGACGAAATTCTACGCGTAACAGCGACATCACGATCAGAAGCAACTGTCTCAGGAATACCCACATCATCCGCAGGAACTATCTCCACTGTCTCCCAAAAACCTCGATCATTGTTATCCGCCCTATCTGAATCTTCGCGTTCACCTTCGATAACATCCTTCGTAATTAAAGTCACACCAAGAACAGTCGGAGTCCGATACATTTTATTCAATTCTAATAGATAATTCAATTTAGCATCATTAGTAACGAATGCCGGTGGCATCGGAATGGATGAATCCCCATAACCGTTGAATAGATATCTCAATTGCATATCGTATTGAGATTGATCGACATTCAACTTATTTTGCAAATTGTGGTACATTTCTAAGTATGGTGTACTCTCTGTTACGGGAATTGCAATACAACCACGTATGTCACTCGTCCATCTCCATTCCCACCGATTATTTTCATTCAATTCGAAATCACCGAAATAATACACGGGGATTATCATATCTGCATGAGGAAATGGTTTTAATCAATTTCAAATATTAATTATAAGAAAGAAAAATGCGTTAAAAATCAGCTGCAACCAATTGGCTGTTTAACAGCCGAACAGCCGGACTGTTTCCGACTGTTTGTTAAGCTTTACCCAGTTTGGCGTAGGAGAATACCGTTCTAAAAACGAAATTAAACATGCGTAATTTAAACGTAAGTTATACATCTGTTTAATTTTTTTTTGATAGGTTCTGTTAAAAAAAATCTATGTCGATATAAAATTTTTCTATTTAAACGTATACTAATTTACTTAAAACGAAATTAAACATGGGTAAATGTACTTACCGATTTGAAGTAATTGATGTGAAAAAAATTTCCAACTTCAACGTTCCAAAGTTCTTCTAGATTTTGAGGTTCAAGCAGATGAAAAGATGAGAGTTTTTTCTGTGTTGGAAGCTCGTTTTGAAGTTTTTATTAGTGAGAAAATGTTTGGTTTTCAATTATTAACTAAAAAGGTAGTATAGTCCTTTCAACAATATATTGTTTTGTAATTGTACAAAACATTTAAGGGCATCTTTATCTTTTACCATACAAGATGTCAATGTCATAATATTCATGATTTTGGAAGTCAAAGTGGAATTTAGCTCCTTTGACTAGGTCAAACTTAAAAGTACCCCATGAATCATCTAGTTCCCAAGACGGGCAAGAACTTTTCCTAGAAGCAGGGCCGGGCCTGGCCCAAGGCAAACAAGGCTACTGCATTGGGCCTCGGATTTTAAGGAGGTCTCTTTAAAAAAAAAAAAAATGCCCAAAACCATCTCAAGACAAAACCTCAAAATCCCTTCAAAAAAATAGCAGATGAACGGTCGTTCAGAAAGAGATACTGAAAATACAATATTCGGTACCAATCAATGATTCGACAATCCCTAAAGACTACCAGCAAAAGTTCCGGTAGAAATTCGATTATCCGACCGACCGAGTACTTCTTCTTCGTCTTCTTGTTGAAGTGTTGTGTTGAGGTAACAAACCCACAATTTTAATTATAATTTATTTTTAAGTAAAATAAATAAGAAGAGGGAGCCAATTATCTGAAGATGTCGTGCCGACATGGAAAATTGAATAGCTATACATACATAACGCTGAAAAAGTTCATATTAGTTGCATAGTAATGGGTTTGGTTTAATGTTTATGAGTTTGTAGGGAAAACTACAATACTGAAGATACTTCGTGGGAAGCATATGGTGGAGCCGGATATGGTGAAGGTGCTAGGAAAATCTACATTTCATGACACCGCATTGACGATTTCCGGTTTCCTTTCTGGTGACCTCTGTCATCTTGGATTAGACTATTTCGTGAAATTATCTTTTGGTTTTAGTTTTGATTTTGGAAATTTTATGCATACTTGTTGAGTGATCTTTATATGATTGCAAAATAGAAGGCAATTTTTACTTTTGGGAAGTTTCCTTTAAGTTGCCACTAATTGGAATGGTAATTTTTTACATTTTAGAAGGAAAGTAGAATGGGATGGTAACACTACCCGTTCGTAATTGATTTTGAGTTCTGGGAAATTATATTTGCAGCTATCTGAAATTCTGTTCATGATTTTGAGTTCCTAATTAATTTTAGTACAATATGATGCGAAAGGGTAGACGTTTTTTTGTTTTGTTTTTTAACCTTTTAGTTATTTGTTTAACGGAGATATATTTTTAATCATCTGTAACTACATATTTGCAAGTCATTTAAATATTATTATACTTGTAAAATAAAATATTATGTTGAAGGACCTCATAATAATTATTCGCCCATAACCTCTAAATTCTTGGGAACGCCCTTGCCTAGAAGCGCGCTCTCTCTCTCTCTCAATTCATTCGTAAAATGACCCTTACACTAAGTGAGATACATGCATTTTACTTTTGATAATGCTTTTAAGCGTTCTAATTATCTTTTGATACCCAAGCCCTTGACAAAACCAATACACAAGGAATGATCAAAAGGAAGATTCGAGGATATAGGTGTTGACGGTACACGCTCCAACTAGGGGTGGTAAACAAGGTGATTTGATCCATGAGCTGCCCAAGCTCATATTGAGATGAACCATGGGCCGAGCCAAGCTCAATCCCTTTTCACTAGTTGAGCAAATTCAGCTTGTGAAATCTTGTATTGAGCTCAAGAACCAGCTTGTTCTTAACTTATTTTAGTAATTTATTGAAAAAACTAGTCAGCTCATGAATGATTTGTGGTGGGTTTGGGCGAGAGGTAGGTGGGATTGGTTGAAGAAGAAATATATATTTTCTCAAATTTTTAATTATTTTTATTAGAGCTCTTTTGCACTTCTTGAAAATTTTGAAACTACTCAAAGTATATTGCACCAAAATAAAATGTTAGGATAACATTGTGCAAATCAATAAAGATAAGAGGATATTGCCCTCCGGGACATAACCTAGAGATGCAAAAGATAGGAGTGAGGTTATCTCACGCTTTGCTGGTAGCAGCAGTGTAGGGGTTCAATTCCTGAAACATGGAATTGGACTCCTTGTAGGCGCAGTGTACAGACAGTTCTTGTTCCCTGGCCTGCTGTAGTACATCCCGCAATTTACCTCTCTCACAAAATTCTAGGGGAGGGGTCGGACAGTGAGGACTCTCAAGGGTGGGGTTCAATCTTTAATAAAGATAAGAGGATATTTCACCAATCACCCTTTAATTTACGATACGATACCAATTATCATGCCTTAATTCTTTTATCGCGTGGGGCCATGCATGCATTATTATACGTAACTGGGATTCATATTATTAGGCAATAAGTGAAAATTGTGGAAATTACACCCACCTATGTGTTTTAAGATCTAATTTCAAAAATCAGATCCAAAGTTTATTTATTCAAAAATCAAAATATAATTAAAAATTTTAATATTAATAATTATATTAAAAAATCAAATTAATATGCATATAAAACCACCCATCCAAAATCCTAATCATTTTCATATTTTCTTCACACTCACTACTGTCACCTTACCTCTTCTCTCTCTCTCTTCCATCCATTTACTCCAACCACCAAAAACCTTCGCTGGATACCACCAACACACCACTTCCGGCAAGATGGCACATCCAACGTGGAAGCTCAACGTCTCTACGCGCGGATGAGTAGCTCTACGCAGCGCCACACTGCAATTGATCCTGTACGGGCAGCAGCGATCTAGGGCACGGTGCAGATCCATTCTTCTTCTATTTAAAAAAAAAATTGAGTGGTACGACAATTGACGGTTCTGTGGTGGTGACAGTGTGTTAGTTTGTGATTGTAATAGTGTGGGACTGTGCAATTGTGGGAATGAAGAACTTTGTGGGTGCGGTGGTGTGTGCACCTATGTTGCTGTGGGTTCGATGGTGGTACGGTGGTTGGGTGTGTATGCGTACGTGCGTGCAACAGTGGTGGTTGTGGCGATAGGTCCACCGAGATAGTGGTGGATCTGGCGCAACGATGTAGTGATGTTTTTCTGCAATGTGTTGATTTGTTTGAAGTGTGGTGTTACTGTCGAGAGGTGGTGGTGGTGCTACTACTAGAGATAGCGATGAGATGGTGATTAAAAACGTTGATGGTGGTCACAAATTAGTTGGTTGACTGTGACCATTAAAGTAGTTAATATGTGATCAATGAAAAATATAAATTGCGACCAAAAAAATTGTTAATCTATGATAATTTGTGACAATATAATAAATCGTGACTTATAATATTTGTAATTTGTGATCAATAATATATCATGACTTATAATTTTTTTGATTTGTGACCAATGAAGAAGTCGTGATCGATAAAATATTTGAATTGTGACTGTAAAATAATTTTTTACATATAAAATTTTTGATCTGTGAGCAAAAAATAATATGTGATGTACTAAATTCTTAATTTGTGATCAAATGTATAAACCTGTTATACTATAATTAATTAATTAAATCATAAATAAATATCTGATTTTTGAAATTAGAAATCTTTGTTATTAATTTTGAAATAGGTAATACTTAATTTCTTAAGTATGAATTTTTCCAATGAAAAATTTACGGTATTCAATTAATGCTGTGTGTGTAATGAGTGAACAGAAAATATGGCCCATTGGGTCACAATGTTTGAAGGGGGACAATGTTTTGTTTGGGCTAAAGCACTTTGCAGATGGTCCCATCTCAATTAATGCAGGAATATCGAGATACGGGAAGTTCGACTTAAGACCATGATTTGCTAAGCTTAAAAGGTGCTTAAAATAATTCGATTATAATTTATAATTTTTCGGCTTATAACACAAAAATATCCCAATAGAAACACTTAAATTGAGAAGGCAAGCTCCTGAAAGAATTCCCCCCCTGTGCTTAAAATTTCTGAATTCATCAAAACTAGCACAGCCGGGACTCAGTAAAATTGCGTCACCTACATCAAGAACAAAAAGATGAAATAAGATAGGTCATGAGCATCTGGAGCTCAAACTGTTGTCTACAAACCTATAAAGTAACACAACAAGGATCAAAGACGAATTATAATTATGCTAAATAGATATTCTAAGAGCATGTTAGTTTGAGCCTAAAGAAAAAGTAAATGGTACTTCGTGAGAAAGTAAGTGTAGACTTGCTAAGTTATCTCTAAAAAACTAATTTTAAGTTACCTTACGCATGTTTGGCTAAGCTTAAAAGTTAAATTTTTTGTCAAAAATGTTTGAGGTTTTTCAGAAGTTCTTTCTTATGGTACAAAATCTTCTCTTTTGACAGCAAGTTTTTACTTCAAAGTATATGTATACTATGATGCGAAGCATTGAGAGAGTACAAGAGATATAGCAGGAAAAGGACACACCAGTTTTTGCCATAGTCTTCATTAACCTCACAGCGTCCTTAAGATCTCTGGCCCTTACACAAGGAATGCTGAGACCATTAGAGGATAGAGCGTTTTGGATCATCATACCTGCAGAACCAAACTTCTTGAAAAAACAGTTTTAAGTTGAAATTCACCAAAATATAAGCAATTACTGACGATAATAGAAAGGGATATGACGTAGAGTGATGACGCCTCTGTGGTACTTCAACGGTTCTACCAGCTGCTCAAAACCATTAGAACCTTGCACGTCGGATGCCAGAAAAAAAATGATAATAAAATTCAGGAAAATTAGTAAAGAACCGTTGTAGCGAAATAGAAAGAATATAACAGATTTAGTCTTCTCAAGATAATTAGTTGCACATAGACCAATCACAGTGTTTTTCATGTGCTTAAGAAAGTCTAATCTTGTGCACACCTTTTAACACTTTGTACCACGAACACAGCAATAGGATGGATGTATTATTTTCCTGAGTCGTGGGTTTTGTATCAGATGAATATTCAACCACACGGCATGGCATTATCTAATTTTCCCACACGGTTTATAAAGGTTAACAAGTAAGTGTGTTTGGTACACAATATTAGAAATTAGAAAGGACTGGATTATATTAAACAAGATTTACTCTTTCTGGATATTGTTAACAGCTGTCTCTGATCCTCCTCACCAAACATGTCATAAATGTATTAAGTTTACTCTGAAAAACTTGTTATAAGTGTAAATTGCAAATGACTGTTTTATATTATGAGAACAGTCAATATATGGAAGTGCAGTAACCTTTGCCAGACCGCCAAGTAAAACCACTGCTTTTAGTTCTTTAAGAACCATCAATCCAGCGTACATAGCATCGACATTTGTTGCCTTGCTATCATCCACCCAGGTTATTCTATGACTATCTTTGTGAACTGCAGAGAGAATATATACAATTTAATAAAGATAAATCCGAGCTAAACAGTATACCACTAGGAAAGTTGATGTTAAATTCTACTTGGTCTATGGAAGTTAAAACATTAATATAAATGACACGGGGGTCAAAGAAAAAGAGGTATTATCCGTAGCTCTCGGAACTTTCTGATCTGTATACCTTCCTGACTTTCCTCCACTTGATAACTTAATTCAACTTGATAATATTAATTTATGCAGGAGAAAAATAGAATATAGATCCTTAAGTAAATGAGAAAAGCAAAAGAAGATAACATTTTAACAAGGGTGTGAGTGAGCACATGCATAGGTGGACTGGTGGATGGTGAGTGCGTATCAATGTATGTATATGCCTATACATATATGTACAGTCAACGGTTGCTAAACAAGTCAAAATTTGATATTTAGTTCAACCTAAAAAAGTTGAGATTCAGTATCTAATTCTTGCTTACACCTTAGAGGAGAAACTATGAGGAAATTTTAAACTTAATTTTGAGCATACTTTCTAGTTAAAATGCACAGATAAAGCTCATCAAAAAGTGAATATTTAACATCATCCAAATTGTGCTTTTTGGTTATCTCTTGACGGCAATTTAGGAAGCCAAGTCCCACAATAACTTGTAAAGATTAAAGTTGGTACTGAGATTGAAGCAGGCTGTTGATATATAGCTTCAGACTTTTCTAAGATAGAGAGAAAAATAGATATGCCAGAGAACAAATCATATAACAGATGCTTTTTAGTATTCTCAATTTCTACGATCATCCAAATTAGGAGTCATATCTATCCTCCTTGTCAACTGTCATGGATAGCATTTACTAATATATCAATGAAGACTGATTTCACATCGTTCATTTTGGTGTTTGACCATTCCATTTACCAATTAAAGATCCAAGAAAATCTCATCCACTACCATTACTAATGCCAAATAGCTTCTATGTTGAGCGGGGATTGGAAAATGATAGGGTTCTCCACCCTCCTTGGTGATATAGGCTACACTATAACTTATGCTACTTTAGACAACTAACCAGGCCACTTTTCTGTTTGGAACAATTACATATATAAATATGATCCTACTTACCAACTACCATGCGATGAGGTGGAGCTCTTAAGTTCCCAATAGTTGAATAGATAGCTGCATCATTGATTCCAAGATCCAGACCAACAGACAATGCAGCAACTGCAGCATTATAGTAGTTTTGTGTCCCAATGGTTTTCATTGCACCCAATGGTAGTTGGGATACATGTTCGATTGTAGGGACTTCAAAGTTGGCAATTTTGGCCTCCATGTCAATCTATGCATGTTGAGAAATATAATGTTAATTTAATTTGTACTATCCAAGAACAAAGCTTAAAAAGAAATGCCAGAGAGAAGAAGTATCTAAGAGCTTAAGCTAAGCTGTTACAAAAAGAAAGACAAATATTATTTTCAACTTGCCTTCTCATTTGCAAGCCGGATTCGTGTATTTATCAAACACTTGATACATGAAAATTTTTCATAAATAGGTGGTGGTGACTGGTGAGACTCAAACTCGAGCTTCAATCTAATCGTGGTATCACGTCAACTATTTCATTTAAAAATACAAGTTATTAGAGAGGGACACACTCTGTAGCACGGACACTTCAATTAGGTAGCGTGTCAGTGTCCGACACGTGTCAATACCAAACTCCTCGGACACTGTACTGTAAACATTTTTCATTTTTTATTAAAAATATTATATATTTTTAACTCATACAAAATGACGAATGTAATTTAGTTGAGATACATGAAAGCATTGAAGGTTAAAAATATATTGATGTCATTGGAAAATACCTGACAATGGCCTCGTAGAAATCAATATTCAGATCTGTGAAAGCCCATAAAATGCGATCAAAGCTTTCTTACTTTAACACCAGGATAAGCGCCAATCCAAGCAAAATTACATTCATTCTCATGACCAGCAATTGCTTTAGATAAGAATTTCCTGTCCAAGTGTATCATTATAGTGTTATCATTCTTCATATGTGCTGTCACTTATGAATGAAATGGAGAAAATTTGATTGATAACGTAGCTGGAAGAAAAATAACATAAGGCTCACCTTCTTCTTCATCATTTTGTCAAAAAAAATGGATATCGTCTAAAAATCCAACTTAATGAGCAAACATCTCCTTTGATTTGTTTTCAACTTCTAGTGACAGTGTAGAAAAATGATTTCAAAGGAATATGAAATGTGGAATATGTAGGTTCAACTTTCAATGTCCATTCTACAATTGTCAATTTTCGGCATCAAACCCCTCTTAAAAATTAAGTAATTAAAAAATTTTGAGCTAAGCCAGATGCACCATAAAGATTATAACTGAGAAAGAATTCACTTTACATACCAAGTGGAAGAATAGCAATCCTTTTGTCAGTCATGTGAGAAAAAACACGACACTTAGTCATGGCATAGTTTTCCATGGTCTTGGGCCTTTCTAGATGATCCGGAGTGAGATTCAAGATTACAGCAACCTAAAAGCAAGAACGTCAAACAGAAGTACAGTGGAGTACAATAAGACTAGATGTCCGAGACACAAACATGAACTCCATTTACAGAAGGGCAGAAGAACTTGTAGGGAATTTCTAAGTGATAACTACTGACTTCAACAATGGCAACCTGTAAAAAAGGTATACATGCTTGATATTAGATGTGCAGACTTTCAAATTGTGTAAGTCAAGGATACATGAGGAACTAGCCAATTTTCAGTACATATAATTTCACCATGTAAATATAGGAAAAAGGAAGACAAAATAAGATGTATAATACATTCTTCCTTGCCTGAAGAAATCTTTTAGGGCATGATGTTAAGCACTGGAAAGTAGCTTCTGATAGAGGAATGCCTAGGTTTCTCCCAACAAACGTCTCTATATTCAACTGATGGAGAATCTGTAATCCAGGAATTATTAATGTTTTATTAGTGCAAGGGGCAGAAACACTCACACACGGCCTGGTAACACCATAAAGAACTGAATAAATAACATGATTTCATTTAAATTCTAACTTAAACTCCCTAAACATGCGACAATCAAAATTGATTGCACCATTACTAAGATAATTTAAATGGAGTAGGAACTGTTTTAGACCATATTACAAAACACCACTGAGAAGTTTGGAAAATTGCCTGCTTGTCTATGCCCGACAACATTGTTCATCATTTTCATCTACAATCAGCTGGCCAATTCAACTGATGTACGAAACATTCCATTTCAACGAGCATAAATATTCTTCACATCCAATGACAAGTGGAACCCATCACACATGGGGGGGGGGGGGGGGGTTTTTTAAAATTTTAAAAAAAAACCCAAAAAAAACCAGGAAATTAAAAAACCGCAGAAAAGCCAGGAGATTAAGCAAACCTGTCCAGCAAACGTGGCCACAGTGGATTTTCCATTAGTTCCAGTCACAGCCAAAACTTTGGTGTACCTTGGGAGAACTTCTGCAGCAAAATCCAACTCGGACATTACACGCTTACCCTAAATTCGAAAAGGAACAGTCATAATTATTCAATGCCATTAAAAATTCCAAAATTTTTTAAGTTAGGTGAAGATGTCAGTCAAAAACTAAGGCACATTATTGCTAGCACTTGAAGGTGCATGTTAAACGTAAATGGTCTGGTGGTACCATATACTGTCAGGCATATATTTAATTTCATGTAGAATCCTAAAACAAAGGATCATACTTGCAGAGTGTAAAAGCAAAGACAGACCATAATTCTCGAGAGTAACTCCTGGGGAAACAACTATCACATCAGCCTCCTTAAGTAACTCGTGATCAAATTGACCAAGGATTGTCTTCAAACAGCTATGCTTCTCTGAGAGAATATTTTGCTACAATTACGGAATTATATAATCCGAATTCAGAAAATAGCAAAGCAATGTGCTTAAAGATGAGGAAAGAAAAAAAAAGAATCTACCCCCAGAGTGACCATTTTTTAATTCTCATCAATGGCTAGAACAGAAGCACCTCTGGCAAGAGCAAGCTTTGTTGCAGAAATTCCAGATTTCCCCAGACCTATAATCTACAATTGAAGAACACATTCCGATCAATACTCTATCACAGTTCACAATTAAGTTTTTCCATTCCATGCAAAACTGATTAACAAGAACAGCATTGCCAACTAATTAGAAGCAATTGTACCATCAATATGGAAGTGTAATATTGTGATTCAAGAGTACCCTATCAGTGGGAAGAAAAAGGCCTCTCCCCATCAGCTTCTAAAACAGAAGACAGACTCAAATCATGTGCTTGCACGATCCATTTCGACCGTGGTTTTTATTGGCATTCACAGAACATGGCCATCAAGTTGACAACTGAAGCAATATGATGCAAGAACAACTGAACCGTATATGAACACACAAACACACAAATAAAAAAAGAGCACAAAAAGTGCCCAGTTCATAAAACACCAGCAATATGATGCAAGAAGAACGGAACCGTATATGAACACTCACAAACACACGCACACAAAGCACAAAAATGCCCAATTCATCAAACACTTCGATTCTCCCATAGTTTCGAGAATGCACACAGTGCTGAATTGCTAATTCCCACTTGTGGGTTTTCACTTTTTTATGACAAACTCCAATCACCTATATTTCACCTGCAGTTTCTGACATTTTCCAGTTGCGTCGTTTCTAATTACCATAATGGTAACTTCAGACACGACATTCATACAAAACAGACTGAAATAACAGAGTGAGATTACAAGTATCAGAATTTCCAAATATACCCAAATAATCCAATTTTGAAAAACAAATAGAAAATGAAAAAAAATACAATCCAAATGAAGAAGGTGAAAAGTGAAAATAGTGCTCACAGCAACGGAACGGTTTTTGAGGTCTTGTTTGGGAAGGCAAGATTGAATTTTTGGGCATAATATTGCGTTTTCTGCAGAGCTGACATCTTGCAGCTTCACGGCAGCCTGCATAAATTTTCCTTGGTTGGGGAACGAGACCAAATGAAAATATTCTGGGAAAATTATTTTTCATCTACTCTAATTAATAAGTAAATTTTAGAGGGGTTTTCCAAGTCTACAGGACTATATACTTAGGGACAATGTTATAAGTACGGAATGATTTATCTAATCGTTTACTTATTATCCACTTCATTTGAGTGGGACCTCGGCTCGAATTATTAAATAACACATGGGGCCTGCATGTTTGTGAGGGGGGAGTGTAAACGGTTCGGTACACCCCCCTCCCGGTATCTTGAGATTGAACTAACAGATACTAGAATCTAGATCTGAGAAAATATGAAATATGGATGAATATGGAAAATTCTTGTATTGAAGATGATAGTTCACGTGAAATGTACATCAGGTGGTCTTTAAATAGAGAATGAAAGCAATTGGGTTCTATACAGTTGTTTACAGCTGGATATTAACAGAAAATCAACTAATCTAACTAATTCTTCCACGTCAGCAACAGGTTCTGGTTGTTTCTTCCTGTGTTCCTCAACAGCCCCCTTCAAGATGGAGTGTATATGTTGGACACATTCATCTTGCACAATAAAGAATGAAATAAAGATGCTCCCACTGGTTTTGTCATAATATCTGCTAGTTGATTGTTGGAAAAGACATGCATAGTGTGCAAAATTCCAGCCTTAATCTTGTCTCTCACTATATGACAATCTAGTTCGATATGTTTTGTTCTTTCGTGAAATACGGGGTTGACAGCAATGTGTAATGCAGCTTGATTATCACAGTATAACAATGCAGGCTCCTCATGTTTAATTCCCAAGTCAGCCAACAGATATAGAAGCCATTGTATTTCGCACGTTGCTGATGCCATTGCACGGTATTCAGCTTCTGCTGAAGATCTGGAAACCGTGTTTTGCTTCTTAGATTTCCAGGATATTAGAGCATTTCCTAGAAAAGTACAATATCCAATTATGGATCTTCTTGAATCAGGGCAGCTGGCCCAATCTGAATCTGAAAAAATCTTCAACCTTAAGTCATTGTCTTTAGGAAAGAAAATCCCTTGTCCCGGCGTGCTCTTGGTGTACCTTAGTGCCCTATGAGCTGCATCCAAATGAGGTTCCCTTGGTTGGTTCATAAATTGACTTAACACTTGAACCACATAACTCAGATCCGGCCTTGTAATGGTTAAGTACAGCAACCGTCCTACTAACCTCCTGTAAAGTGATGCATCATTCAATAGTTCTCCACTTTCTCTATCCAGTTTAGCATTTTGCTCCATTGGTGTGTTTGCCGGTTTGGCACCACTAAAACCAACATCTTCTAAAATATCTAGAGCAAATTTTCTTTGACACAAAAAAATTCCTTTCTTAGACCGAGCTACCTCCAGTCCTAGGAAATATTTCAATGTTCCAAGATCTTTTATCTTGAATTGCCGATCAAGAGAAGCCTTCAAATCATTCATACCTTGTAAATCATCTCCTGTCAATACAATATCATCCACATACACTAGTAGAGCAATGAAAGAACCATTTCTATTCCTAGTGAAAATTGTATAATCAGATTTGGACTGTGCAAAGCCTTCCTTTAGCAGAAAATCTGAGAACTTAGTAAACCATTGTCTAGAGGCTTGTTTTAAACCATATAAAGACTTGTTGAGCTTGCATACCATACTGCCCCCTTTGCTGTCAAGACCAGCAGGAACTTTCATGTATATTTCCTCATTTAGATCACCATGTAAAAATGCATTGTTGACATCTAATTGTAAAAGAGTCCAATCCTTAGCAGCAGCTATAGCCAAAAAGACTCTCATAGAAGTAAGCTTTGCCACTGGAGAAAAGGTTTCAAGATAATCAAATCCTTCTTTTTGAGTATAGCCCTTAGCCACTAATCTGGCTTTATACCTTTCTAAAGACCCATCAGCTTTCAACTTTATTTTGAATACCCATTTACAGTCAATGGGGACTTTGCCAGGGGGTAAACGAGTGATTGTCCATGTGTTATTATCCTCAAGTGCCTTAATTTCCTTAGTCATTGCATCACACCAGTTAGGATCCTTTACAGCTTGATCAAAAGTTTGAGGCTCAGTCATGTTAGTGATATTAAGAGCATATGCTCGATGGGAAGATGATAATCTATCATAAGCAAGATAATTCTGGATATCACAGCTGGGGTTTATGCTTGAAAGAACCCTGCTTGTGGACTGATCAGATCTGTTAAGAGAATGTTGAGCCAAATGACAATGATAATGCTGAAGATAAGAAGGGGTTTGTTTAATTCTTGTGGATCTTCTCAAAGGAAGGTTTATGTCATGTGAAGCTGTATGATTTTCTGGTGGAGGAATAAGGTCATTTTGGTGATCTGGTGAAGTGTTTGGTGACACATTTTCAGATATAGGAGACATCTGGGAAGAAAAAATGGGAAATGAAGGTTCTGGAATTGGATTAGGTAAGACAAATGGGTCATCATGATTTGAAGGGAGTTGTTTGTATGGAAAGGTGTCTTCATAAAATACAACATTTTCTTGATATGAAGACAGCTTGAGTTTGAAGATCTAAGAGTTTATAGCCCTTGACAGAATATGGATAGCCAAGAAAGATACATTTGGTTGCTCGAGAATCAAACTTTGATCGATTTCTAGTGAGTGTATAAGCAAAACATAAGCAACCAAAAGTCCTGAAATGAGAGTAATCAGGTTTTTGGGAAAAAAGGGCTTCAAAGGGGGATTTTCCATGAAGCAAAGGAGTGGGAAGTCTGTTGATGATGTAAGTTGCAGTTTGTATACATTCACCCCAAAAACTAAGAGGTAAATTTGCTTGAAAACGAATGGCTCTAGCAACATTTAGTAGATGTTGATGTTTTCTTTCGACTACCCCATTTTGTTGGGGTGATTCAACACAAGTCTTTTGATGTATAACACCTTTGGATGTAAAAAAATCTCTAAGGTGAAATTCTGAACCATTATCCGAGCGAATACACTTTATCTTGAGATTAAATTGTGTCTCAATTAAAGTGAAGAAAGCTGGAATGACCGATTGTGTTTGACTTTTAGAATTTAACAAGCAAGTCCATACATATCGAGTAAAGTCATCAACGAGAGTTAGAAAGTATTTTGAACCATCAATAGCGGTGGTAGAGAAAGGACCCCATAGATCAGCATGTATTAGATCAAATGGAGCAGAACTCTTTATTTCACTAGAAACATAGGGTAATCTGTGCAACTTAGCCATAGGGCACATTGATGTGTAGTACTTACATTCAGGTTTGAAATGACAGGTTGCAACATTTTTAGGCGTTGCAAAGATGGATGGCCTAACCTAAGATGCCACAAATCAGAAACTGTGGATGTTACAGAATTAACAAAATGTTTAGGTTGTGGGGAAGTGATATTCAGCATATAGAACAACCCATTTTTCTCTTTAGCAAGACCAATCGTCGTCCATGAGCATAGGTCCTGTATAAAGCAGACACCAGACAATAAAATGAGAGCACATCTGACCGTTTTAAGCAAGCAACTGACTGATACCAGATTGAATGCAAAGGATGGCACACACAGAACATTCTCCAGAATAATCGAATTTGTAAGTCTAACCGAACCAACATGTGTAACTTTTGCTAAACTACCATTTGGAAGCTTAACAAGCTGTGAGACTGTAGCTGTGATTTCTGTGAGTAAATGAACTGAACACACCATATGATCTGTAGCACCGGTGTCTAGAATCCATTCATAATTCACACTTAAAATTTCAGAACCTTTATATGATTTAGATGAAAAACACTAACTAAATACTGATGCATTGTGAGGCAAAGACCATGATGTACCTGCCAGATTTGCTAGGGCATGCTCTTGTGAACCAGAGGTGCTTGCATTTTGAGAATTGATGGTGCGAGTGCCTATGAATGGCAAAGATATTTCATCAGTGGGTTGAATCAAGGCTAGCAGCTGTTGATACTGATTCTTAGTAAATGAGAATTGCGCGAGATCAGTGTCAACATCATGAGCATATTCCACTTGATTTGCAACTCTATGAACCACAGGATTCTTGTTTTTAAACTTATATCCTGGTGGATAACCGTGTAATTTGTAGCATTTGTCGACTTTGTGGCCAAGAAGACCACAGTGACTGCATTGAGGACGCTCCTTCTTATTGTTCTGTCCAGTGTAATTGTTCCTTCCTTCATTGGCAGCTTGTGCAAGATTTCTAGTGAAATTTTTAGCAACCATAGCAACAGAATCTAGATTGTGTGTGATGCTAGCTGTAATTTCTCTTTGCTTCTCCTCTTGTACTACTAGAGAGAAGACTTTGTTAATTGGTGGTAATGGATCAATCAATAGTATTTGACCTCGAATCTGAGAGTAACTCTCATTCAAGCCCATCAGGAACTGCATGACGTATTCTTCCTACTGAAACTTCACCATAGAGGCTGGAACAGGTCTATAGCACCCAAGCTCGTCCCAAAGTGTCTTCAATTTAGTGAAATATGTACTTACTGAACAATGGTCTTGTGTTAGAGAAGTGAATGCCTTCCTTAATTGAAAGATACGTGGTCCATTAGTTTGTGAAAACCTTTCCTTGAGATCGGACCAAATAGCAGCAGCAGTATCAATATACAGGACACTAGCAGCAAGTTCTTTGGAAATGGAGTTCAAAAGCCATGAAATAACCATATGATTGCACCTCTTCCGAGCTGGAAAGACCGGATCACCTTCATCAGGTTTGCTCAAGGATCCATCGATGAAACACAGCTTGTTTTTGGCACTCAGAGCCATTTCAACTGATCGACTCCATGATGCATAGTTGTCTTCATTCAGCTGCTGAGAAACGATCAAGAGACCAGGACTATCTCCATGATGCAGAAAAAAGGACTAAAAACGTCCTCTGCTCTCGCTGCAGATGCAGGAAGATCAGAAACTAAAGGCTCAGGAACTGAAGCAGAAGCATCATTATGCTCTGATACCATCTCGAGATTGAACTAACAGATACTAGAATCTAGATCTGAGAAAATATGAAATATGGATGAATATGGAAAATTCTTGTATTGAAGATGATAGTTCACGTGAAATGTACATCA